ACTGGAGCCCTCCCTCTGCCTTGAGCAAATGGCCCACGCAGACTGCCTCATGTGGTTCAGGGATCCAGGAGTTCGCAGGGGGAATAGACTTTCCATCTTGATGCTTCTTAAAGCCCTGGGGATAGCGCTATTTCTCACAAGATAGGCTTTGAAAGAACCAGCTTCCATGCTGATGTACTTGGTATTATGTAGCGTGGCAAAATTGCTGGGTTTGGAGTGGATGATTTCATTGGTGACAGTAGTTACTTTTGTTGACCTTGAAAACATCTCAACATAGTCTTATAGCCCTTTCCACTTCCCAAAGGCCAGCTTCAGTTCTAAATCTCTTTAGCTTCTTAGCAACACGGTATACAGGGTGACCCTAACTTTTCCCATGGGGAAACCGAGCTATGTAAAGGTTGAATGACTCACTTAATGTTTCGTAGTAAAGCAGGGTCAGAACTAGGACTAGGATTAGGGTGCCCTGGGTCACAGTTCCAAACTGCTGAGTGAAGTTGAAAGTTCTCTTGGGCAGTGGTTGCCGAGGATAGGTCAGTGGTGGGGATGATCCATCCTAGGGAGGAGTGCTTGCTTTATTTTTGTCATTGCTCAGAGCTGGCAGTCCACAGTGAGAGTAAAACACAGCTCTCAGTCAGCTTTATCACTCTTCTCATATAACCTATAGGCAATGCCTCCCTTTACTGACTGTCCTGGCTCCCACCACCGGCCCTGGACAACTACCGACTTTTGGTAAAGAATTCTATCTAAAGTGGTTTTGTTTATAAAAGAAAGAAAGAAAGAAAGAAAGAAAGAAAGAAAAGAAGGAAGGAAGGAAAGAAAAAAAGAAAAAGAAAAGAAAAGAAAAAAAGGTTTCATTTGAAGGAGGGAATTTTGATTTCCAAGCAGAGGTGACTTGAAGCCAAAAAATATGGGGGAGATGTATTTGTCGCCACATGTATTGTGTGGCTCTAACTTCTCTTAACTCAAGGAATCAAGAATTCACTGAATGTGGTTTCATACTTAAGGGGACATTAGCTGCCATACTTAGAGCTTACAATGTGCAGACCTGGTAAAGTGTGTCCTCTATGAGGGAAGTACTAGTATTTCCACTGTACAGACAAAGCTGAAGCTGAGAGATTCATTAACAGGGCCAGGGGCACAATTACTCAGTAGTTAGTCTGACTCCATTGGACACGCTCCTGCCACGACTGCCACTTTCTACGTGCCCAACAATGTCTGGACAGGCACTAAAGTATGAAAAATGCTGCTGTTGCAGAGAAGACACACCACTGAGGCCCCCCAGGGCCACCACTTGTGGAGGTTGAGTCCTGTATAAAAAGCCCGGCCAAGGAGGTCAGTGGGCGCCGAAAGAAGCCCAAGCTAGGTGTTTTTCTAATTCGCACAGAGGTGCCTTATGGGCTGGCATTGACCTGGGACCTCGGGTGGTTATCGGTTCAGGCATCGAAACAGCCTGTTGCCCTCTGTTTCTTGTTGATTCTTTGAGCAGCGTTTGTCAATTTCTCGTAAGTGGCTTGGCCTAGTTTCCTGGCCAGTTCCAGAGTCTACTGTCTTCTCTGTGATCTCCACTGCAGGCTACTGTAAAACGCCCAGTTGTTCTTGCCCCTGTCGTAACTGTTATCAGAGATATGACTGGCATCCCCTCAGAAGCGAAATTAGACACTAGGTGAAAATTTAGACACCAGGCCGCTCACGAGTCGGTGTGGCAAATCCTGGGTCCTCCTCATTGGAAAGGCTGCCTGGGGCCTGGGATGGGAGAGGCAATCTGTATCTTCATGTTACTCTTTGGAAATAGGACCAGGACACTTTGCAAGCCCTCTTCGGAACATGCCTCAGGCTTGGGAACTTCTCTTCAATGTGTTACAGTCGTTGTTACAATTGCTTATCAGTGTTTGTTGAGTGACCTTTAAATGCATATTAAGATATTTATCCTACTAACTTAGTAATGTGGGAACTGTGTAGTCTGACTGATACGAAAGCTTGTGTATCACTTAAGTCTGTACTAGTTTCTAGGGAAGAAAAATGACAGATCTGGGAGTTAGACAACTTTATGCTTTCTATTCTCATCTCGGCCGCAGCCTTTTGGTGTGACATTGAACAAGTCATTGGCATCTCTAGGATGCAGATAAAAGGATAGACTCAGTTGTCTCTAGGTCCCTTCATGCTGGGATGGTGGGTGATCTTTTAATCAAGCCCCTTCACACAGAAACACATTTCATCACATTCTAGAGCTGGAAGGGAGGTTTGATGATCCTTTGGTCCATACACCTTATTTTAGAAATGCACATCCTGGGGCGCCTGGGTGGCTCAGTCGTTAAGCGTCTGCCTTCTGATCGGGTCATGATCCCAGGGTCCTGGGATCGAGCCCCACATCGGGCTCCCTGCTCAGTGGGGAGCCTGCTTCTCCATCTCCCACTCCCCCTGCTTGTGTTCCCTCTCTTGCTGTGTCTCTCTGTCAAATATAAAATCTTTAAAAAAAAAGAAATGCACTTCATGAAGAAGACAGGACAGGTATTATTATCCTCCTTCTACAAAGTAAAATACTAGGGCCCTGAGAGGCTGAATCATGTGCTCTAAAGGAGGTGAGCTCTGGCTCATCTTTCCGCTACACCACATTCTCAACTAGGTTATTCTGGGTCCAGTCTAGCATTGCCCAGTTTTCTGCCTTATTTTCAACGGATGTAGAAAAACACCTAGCTATTGTGTGCCCAGCCATAGTTTACAAATGTTGATGGTATCCCATCCTGCGCCTCCATTTTCCACAGACTGAGCATAGGCTACTTTGTGGAGACTAGAAGGAGAAATGCACATTTGGTTCTAGTTGATTTCTTACCAGAGAGCGCCCTTGAGAAACATGGAAACCAGGCAGTTTCCCTTGCTTTAAGAATAGGTTTTCAGGGAGTGGTACTGCTGGGGGTGGGGTCGGGGTGGAGGAGGCACAGCAGAGGAAGTCATTCTGACATCGGTGAGTTTGACCATGGATGACATTAACAACAGGAACAAAGCCGACACTTACTAAGTGTCCATAATCATTTGACAGATACTGTCTCATTTAGGAAATGAAATTTCTAAAAATAGAAGTTTAAGAAATAAGCAATTTTAGAAAGAAGCTATAGAAAGAAAAAAAAAGCACTCGAGTCTGAGAGCAGAAGTAGTGTTACATAGAAAACTGTGCAGTTTAGACTATAAGGACTAAAAGCTTACTATGACAGTCTACCCATCACATGTGTTAAGTTGGCCCATCACAGCTACCTCGGGTCTACTGAGAGTCTCCTTTCCTTTGAATCACATTCAGGTCACCTGCCTCTCAAATACAACCAACTAAAATAGAGAAAATTGATTAAAAAAAAAAAATAGTGGGCTTAGGGGTCTTACCAGGAATCTTGGTTCTACCCACTTCCCACCAAGGAAATCTTAACCGAGTCTCTTAACTTCTTAGAGCCTGAGCATTTTCATCTGTAAAATTAGATTTAAAAACAAATAAAGGTTAGTTATAATATATGTAAAGTTCCTTGAATGGTATTAACAGATTCTAGGCTTCTCAATAAGAATTGAAAGAAGAAAAAGATCAGAGAGGCGAAAGGAGGACAGATTAGTTATTACACTTATTATGTTTCATTAATGCTTATTCTTCAAGATATGGCTTAGGGTCCTTTGGTAAATGGCAAATTTAAGAGCATTCTTCTCCAAATTACCTGCTTTAGCTTTTTCTTCCCTGAGCCTAGCTAATTAAAAAATACTGTGAATGTGCTAATTAGACCATTGACATTTCTTTTCAATAACTGCAAAGGGACTTAACCACGTTCAAGAACACATTAATACTACTCCAGTATGTAACTCACTCTGATCTGATGTTAATACTCATTTGTAGAATTAGTTACGTGGAGAGTAAGTTACTTTCATGGGACAAATGGGGAATCTGAAGCCTCTTTCCAACACACAGGGTCTATTTCAGAGCAAGTAGGAAGTGAAGCAAACTAGCAGGACCATCCAACTTAACACATTCAGCGGCATTTGGAGCGATGGTGGGGAAAACAGGCTCCCCAGTTAATTTCACACTTCCTTTATACATTTCAAAAAACAAGGTGTGACACTGCAGCTGGATTTTTAAAAGACCTTCAGAAGGCAAAATGCCAGGTATTCCGCAAACTCCCTGCTTTAAACAGGTTTTCTGTTTCATGGCGTCTGTTTGCTGTGGGGAATCCCAGTCGGCTCAGTTAAAGCAAGGGCTTTAAGCTCCTTGAAGGGTATTTCCTACTCCTTAAGGCTCTGGGTTTACTGGAGCCGCAGGCCTTTGTCATTCTGAGTGGGGGCATTTTGGAGGCATGTCTGCACTCTACCAAAGCTCAGGAGAATGTGCTGAAGACCAAGGCAAGAGCGGAACTGGCCTTCACGGTGTATCTGCTGGGTGCTCTCCCCGCCCAGAGCCCTGTGAAGGAAGAGCTACAATGGTCTGCATTTGCCACGCTGGGGAATCCAAGCCCCAACGGGTTACCTGTCCCCAGACCCTGCGGCTTCTCCACCAGTACACCCCATCTGCTCTGAACTATGTAGGTCTTGCTGGGGAGGGAGGCCCTCTGGGACACCCTGCTACTCACCACCAGGGCCCTGGACCACCACCTCCTTGCTGCAAATTGCCCCAGGTTTGTTTTCTTTGGCTCCCTCATTAATGAGTTCCACAGGACAATGCTAAGTCTAGTTAGGCGGCCTTAATTGGTTTAGTTACAACAAGATAATTCCTTTTTTCTTCTCTCGGAGGCCTTTTTGTTTAAAGACATTTTAGCTGGAAGATGCTAATTATCAATGAGGAGAAAGTGACACCTGAGGAGTTCATTTTCCATCTTGGTCCTTGGGGTCTCCTTTGAACTCCCCCTCCCCTGCCCTCTTTCCCACTTCATCACTTCTCCCCCACCATCATAAAACAGAGCTCTGCCCTGGGCTGGCGGCAGAACTTTCTTTCTCACTTGCCAGGGAGCCGTTCTCTCTGCAGCTGTCCCCTCGGCATGGACAACCTTCGTGAGACCTTCCTCAGCCTCGAAGAGGGCTTGGGCCCCTCCGACAGCCCCGGCCTGCTGTCCTCCTGGGACTGGAACAACAGGGCAGGGCCCTTTGAGTTGAACCAGGCCTCCCCAACCCAGAGCCTGTCTCCGGCTCCGTCGCTGGAGTCCTATTCTTCTTCTCCCCGACCGGCTGTGGCTGGGCTGCCCTGTGGGCACGGAAGTGCCACCAATGGGGGCAGTGGGGGCTGCAGTGGCCGTGGGACCGGTGGCCTCGTGGAGGTGGACTACAACATGTTAGCCTTCCAGCCTACCTATCTGCAGGGTGCTGGGGGCCCCAAGGCCCAGAAGGGCGCCAAAGTCAGGATGTCTGTGCAGCGGAGACGGAAGGCCAGCGAGAGGGAGAAGCTTCGGATGAGGACCTTGGCCGATGCCCTGCACACCCTCCGGAATTACTTGCCCCCTATGTACAGCCAGAGAGGCCAGCCGCTCACCAAGATCCAGACGCTGAAGTACACCATCAAGTACATCGGAGAACTCACAGATCTCCTCAACGGCGGGAGGGAGCCTCGGTCCCAGAGCGCCTGAGCTCTGCCCTGGGGACCCCGACCCATCCCAGCCCCTGGGCAAGGCGGGGGCAGGAGAGCTTTAAAGACCTGGACTAGCTCACGGAATACCGACACATAGGTGGTTTTTTTTTTTTTTTTTAATATAGTAAGCATGGTGACTTTGTTGTCTGCAAAGTTGTGAGGGAATACCCACTGGACTTGTTGGAGCCACCAGAACACTTAACAGCCAGACAAGCAGGTATTTTGCTTCCAGTTTTCCCACGGTTGCTCAGGAGATGAGCCCCTAGCGAGGAGACCCTTTACTTGGCCTTTCTCTGCCAGTCCCAGGTATTTTAAAGGGTCAATGATTTGCAATGCATTGTGTCAAGAATGTAAAATTGTTACAATTAATCTCTATTTCAGTGGTGGGAGCTTCCTTTCTGGGGCTAACTCATCCCATATTTTGTATAGCATCCAGCGTGACTTCTGGATTCTTATTTAGAAAGTTTTGTATCAAGTAAAGGGCTATAGCATTTCTGGTTTTATTTTGTTTGTGTGCTTGTGTGTGTGTATGTGTCTGTGCGCGCCTCGAGTGCTTGTGTGTGTTTGACTATAATCATGCCTTTTCTTTTGCAGGAACCCAAATCACATAGACGCAGAAGGAATTAGCATCATGGTAAATAGCAAGGCCCAGGCAGACAGGCTACATTGAGATACAGTGAAGTAAAGGCGAGCGCCTCTTCTCTTGATGCAGGGGACGGGAGGCTGCGCGCTGGGTGCCGGGGGGGTGGGGGGGGGATGAGCAGATAGGAAGGAGGAGGAAGTGGGGGAGGACTCAGCCCCACAGCGTGGGCCTAAAGCAGGGCTGGGGGCAAGCACTCTATGCTCCAGTGCTGGTATGAAAATAACCTCATTGACTCCCTTCACTTGCTCATTTCTCAAATGACGTGATTGGTTCAAAAAGTATAAGAGACTATTTTAATTCTATAGATGAGCGAAAGGGTTGGGATTAGAATTCAGGTCTGTCTCTAGCACCCACCCCCCAGAGGTATTAGTTCTTCCCCCACACATCCTCTCCTCCTCTCTACCCTCTGCCCCATCACCCCACACACACCTATGCACAAATAGGCTCCCGAGCCCGGTGCTCCGACTCAGGTTGGGTGATGCACGCTCTCAGCTTGGCCAATGTGAATGGCACAAGGCATTGAAAAGGGGGCTTTGAATTAAGGTGATTCACAAAATCTTTGAATTAATTTTTTTTTAAGGCTGCATTTTTCTCCCAATGGTTATTAACCATTTGCATTATTTTTTAAATAAATAGTCTGTTAAGGCTCCCAGTCGTTTCTTTTCCTATTGGTGCCTTTTCTTCTTTGTAAGGACACATTAACAAAAGCAGTAGATGTGTTACAATTTCATGTATAACCTCTCCACTTTTTCCCTTTGTGGATACACACATATACAAATAAATATAGACATATATACATTTAAAAATGCCTTTAATTCTGCAAATTGCTTTTTTTTTTTTTTTTACTTAGCAATACATAATAAAAGTCCTTCCAATGTAACACAGATAAATCTGTGATGGAAGTACCATTATTACCTTGATTTTGATTTTACAGAGGAGAAAAGAGAAGGGCAGGCTAGCTCTGAGGTGCACATGTGTAGAGCGAAGCGGATGTCAGAGCGTCAATGGGCAAAGTCACAGGTGTTGCAATATTTGTTTAATGAGTCACCTTTTGAATAATATTTAGGTTGTTTCAGTTTTTTGTTATGAAAAAATGCTGTAACAAACATCGCAGACAACTAGATTTATCCACGGATATTTTAAGTAGCCTGGAAATTTCCCGGAAATGGGATTCTTGGACCAGAGTGTATGCACATTTTAAATTTAAATAAAGACTCTTAGATGACTTTTCTAAAAGTTTACAGTTATTTACAGTCCCTCTAATATTATGTAACCGAACCAGCTGTCCTACTGGATACGACCAATATTTAATGGATTAAAAAATGGTTAGGTCACTGTTGTGTTAATTTTAATTTCCCCATCTACTATTTGAGATGGTGCATCTTTTTTTTTTCTTACTTTATGGGACTTTTGTCCATTCTGGTTCCTCTGCTGTAACTTGTCTGTTTATGTTCTTTTTTATTTTTCTATTGTGTTACTTGTCTTTTTGTTAATTTGGGAGAGTTCTTTGTATATTATGCATATTGAAAATGTTTCCTCCCGATCTATCATTTTTGATAGTCCTTGCTTATGGTATCATATATTTATGATTTTGATTATGGTATTTTTTGCTCTAGGAAGCCTTGCATTTTTAGACGATCAAATCTCTCCCCTTTTTTGGTTTATGTGTTTTTTCCTTTTGCTTAATTTTTCCCAGTCCCGAGGCTATCCAAACATTCTGATTTTTTCAAATATTTTCATAATTATTTGTATATGTATCTTTTTTTAAAATAAATGTTATGCACTATTTTTTTTAAGTAGGTTCCACGCTCAGTGTGAACCCAACACAGGGCTTGAACCCACAACCCTGAGATCAAGACCCTAGACGAGATCAAGAGTCGGATGCTCAACTGATGGAGCCACCCAGGTGCCCCTCTATGTACCTTTAATATACCTGCGTTTTATTTTCGTCTATAGTGCAAAGAAGGAATCTAACTTTATTTCTTTTTTTTTTTAAGATTTTTTATTTTTATTTATTTGAGACAGAGAGAATGAGATACAGAGAGCATGAGAGGGAGGAGGGTCAGAGGGAGAAGCAGACTCCCTGCCGAGCAGGGAGCCCGATGCGGGACTCGATCCCGGGACTCCAGGATCATGACCTGAGCCGAAGGCAGTCGCTTAACCAACTGAGCCACCCAGGCACCCTAACTTTATTTCTGATTAGTGTTCTTACAACTGAAGAATAAGTATATATTGTCATCAAGAGTGATGAGTTGTGGTGGGGCAGAGTTGCTAAAATATCATTCTATGAATACAAACCTTCATCAACTTCTTATATATTTGTCGCTGGTGCTTTACAGAAGAAACTAGAAAGTGTTGGACAGTATCAAGATTTTCTTCAAGGGACTCTGCCCTGTGCATGTATAGATATTCATGTGAGAGAGTATGTTTGTGCACATGTATCTGTATATGTATTTGTGTGTATGTGTGTGTGTGGTTTCATGTGTTGGGGAGGAGGATTGGGGAAGATAGTAATATGAGGAAGGGGATGTCTAGCCTTTGGTCAGGTTTTAGATTAATTGCTGTTTTCCTTGCCATTTTTAAAAGATTGGGACCCAAATGCTCTTGGCTTTGATTTTTTTCAAGCTCAAGCATTAAGAAGGGTTTATAAATAGCTTGGGTAATTTTGGTTGCCCTGGGGTGCCTGGGTGGCTCAGTCATTAAGCGTCTGCCTTCGGCTCAGGTCATGATCCCAGGGTCCTGGGATCGAGCCCCACATCCGGCTTCCTGCTCCGCGGAAAGCTTGCTTCTCCCTCTCCCACTCCTCCTGCTTGTGTTCTTTCTCTTGCTGTGTCTCTCTCTGTCAAATAAATAAATAAAAAATCTTTAAAAAAAAAAATTTGGTTGCCCTTGGGGACCAGATTCTATGGATGAGTTAGAGGAGTTGCTTGTCCTCACTCTCCAAAAACCTGGAAAACCACAGACTCAACTACTAGCTGGGCTGGCCCTCAGGACTCCTAAGGTGTCCATGGGAGGGAAAACATTTGGAAAATGAGGAGAACGTGACAGCTTTGTGGGAGGGGGCCTCTGGCTCTGGGTCTTGTCAGACAGACATGAGCTCAGCATGGCGGCAGTCTGCCCCAGGCCGGCTCTGCAGCTCCAGCCCTGTCCAGGAGATTCAGCTGTGCATCAGCATTTGACTCCGGCAGCAATCCCCAGTGAAGATGCCTCCCCTGGGGGAGGATAGCTGGACCAGGTCCCTGAATCCTCTAGGGAGCATTTAGAAGTAGCTGGCCCGGGCAAAGCTCATAAATCGGAAGAAGTTATTCTGGTGCTTGGACAGGGAACCGCAATTTGTGTGTGTCTACTATGTGGTGGTCAGATTTTTATATTTATTATTTTGGTAATCCTCCTCACAATTCCAGGAGCTGGGCATTATTGGTCCCATCTTGAGGATGAGGAAACTAAGATTTGGACTAGCTCAACAGCACAAAGCCCTATAATTAGCTAGTGGAACATGGTTGACTAGTTAGCTGGAGAGCTCAGCTCTAAGTCCAAAGCTTGGGCCCTTCTCTGAGTCATGCAGCCTTTCCTTCCAGCTCACCCCAGGACACTGTGGGCTGGGCAGTGGAGAGCTTTATCCACAAAGGCTTGCTCCCCTGGTTCTCGACTGTTTCTTTGCTTCCCCATCTCTTCCCTTATTTCTTTCAACCATCAGAAGCATTTCTGATGAGACTGTCATTCCTCTTGTCCTCTAAATTATTTCCCTTTGAACTTCTGCCTCTGTCCCCAGCACTTCCTCAGAAATTCCTTCCACTTCCTTGCTGGCACCTAGGATGAACCACCGAGGAAACCTGACTTCTGTTCATTTGTGTTCAATAAAGTGTTCCACAATTCACACCAGGCTGAGGTTTCTTTGTTCTTCTTGTAGTTTCTGCCACATTAGCTAATTGGGAGAGAAGCCATAGCAGGGGTAGGGGAGATCCTTTGCAAATTGACAAGTAGACAGAATTACCTTTACTTCAGGATATTAAAAAAAAAAAAAAAAAAGGCAGCAAAAGAAGATGGATATGGAAGTGAGTTCGGGTGTTGTTGCCTTTGGGGTCCTGTTACAGTAGCTTAGTTATGTGCCTACTCTGAGGAGTCATTTGCTTCCTGTACACACTCCAGGCTCCAGAAAGGGCTGGGCCTTGACCCCAGGCTGGCTTGAAGGCAGCCAGAGTTTGGCACTCTCCTCTTGTCCTTCTCTGGCAATCTGAGAGGGGTCTACCTCAAAAAATGAAATATTGAAGCCAAAATGATGCCTCTTAGAGTAACTGGAAGGACTTGATCTTAATATTTTGGTTCCAGGAAGACCCTTAAACTGTGAGAAGGAA